GCAAAACATAGTGGAAAGAAATGGAAGAAGGGTGGTAAAAAACCTTGACAACAAATAATGCCAAAATGATGAACAGACTTAGTAAGACTGGTGATGGTGTGAAAAGTTTCAATGGCAACTGTTTTCATTGTATAAACCTGAGCACATTGGTAAGTTTTGCCTAGTTTTCCTTGACATGCCAACCACGGCAAATGGCAAAACAGAGACCTTCTTTACAAATATTCAATGCAGAGCGTTTACTTGTCAAGATGATTGTGGCCCAAATGTGTGGTTTAAAGATGATGGAGCTACAGCACACATTACAACTTCAGCCGGGTATTTCAAGATGTACCGTCACTTTAACAAACAAGCAGAAATCACAGTTGGTAACAAACAGACAATATCAGCATATGGCTGTGGGGACATTGATATTTGTACGGTGGTTGGAAACGTACTAAAATCTATTGAGCTTACTGATGTACTGTGTGCACCCAAAATCGGCAAAAATTTGTTATCAGCTTCGAAGGCAATGAGGTGAGGAATCTCGAATTTTGGTGATTCAGACGATATGATTTGTCATTTTTTTCGCAAGGTAATATATTTTTAGAGGCTCTATGTTCATCAAATGGACTTTTTGAACTAGTGCAAAACCAGTCAAGCTACAAAGGGGGTCTGCTGTGCAGCCTACTTGGTTGACAACGAAATGACAACTCCTTTTCCTGAGACGACTTCTTTCCTTTTCTTAAGACGACGTCAAAATTCCCATTATCACTTTGGCATCGACGACTTGAGCATCAAGGAATACAGTACGTGAAACAGTACCTGTGCCAAAATGGCATAGATTTTATCAACGATGGGCTCTTTTGTGAGCCATATACATATGGTAAACAAAGTCGACGAACATTTAAACCAAAACAATTCAAAACACAATCTGGTGAGATAATACATGCAGACTTACTCGAATCGCCAGTCTTATCAAGAAGTGGAAAAAAGTGCATGTTAGTGATTAAGGATGATTACTCTAAGTTTCAACATGTAGAATTTCTGAGACATAAAGTCGAGGCTGTGGATAAAATCAAGCAGTTTTTTGTTTGGACGAACAAAGATAGCATAAATGTAAAAGAACTGGTCACTGATGGTCGTCGTGAGTTTGACAATGATAAATTGGTGAAACTCACTGACGATGCAGGCATTGAGCTGCGAATCACTACGCCAAATACACCAGAACAAAATGGATTGGTTGAAAGAGAGAACTGTACAATAATGAATGCAGTTTGCATTATGATCAAGTATTCAGGCCTACCACAGTTCCTATAGGCAGAAGCAGTATCTACAGCTGTCTAGGTTCTCAATTAAACTGGACCAAATAAGATCATGGGAAAATCGTTTGAGGAATGGGTTGTACGCAAGCCAGCAATCAAGAGAATTTTGAGTTTTTGGATTAGCTGCATTTATACATGTACCAAATGTCAACAGAGGTAAATTAGATGACAAGGCTATAAACGGCTATTTGGTTGGTTATTGTGATGATGATGGATATCATATTTTCATGCCATTGAGGAATGATACGATAACAAGTGCCAATGTAGTGTTCAATGGACGAAGAAATGGCTTCGCATGCCAAACATGGAACATTGCAACTTGTTGAGCCACCTAACGGACGTAAAATCTTGACAATTGCTGGGTTTACAGAGTGAAGACAAATCCTGATGGCTCAATTGAGAGATTCAAGGCCCATTTAGTAGCAAAAGGGTACACACAGGCAGTGAATATCGAATAGAAAGACACACATTTGGCCCGGTGTGTTGCTATGACACTATTCAAGCTCTAACTGCAACGGCAGCCAAGGAGAATCTCAAGTTATATCAAATTGACGTGGAGACGACATTCCTTTACGGTGACCTAACTGAGGAGATCTAGATGCATCAACCAATGGCTATAACAATGGAAGTAAGCGTATATGCAAGATGCTCCGACCTTTATACGGCTTGAAACAAGCTGGACAATGTTGGAATGCCAATTTTACAGACGTGCTGACATGACACAAAGTAAATCCGACAACTGCCTGTTTACACGAAATAATTATGGACATAAGATGCTGATCGCAATTTATGTTGACGATGCCATTGTCGCTGGACAAAGCATCATTTTTCACATTTATGGACAAGCTCAAACAACATTTTAACATTCAAGTAACGATGTTAAATTGTTTCCTTGGTCTACAAGTTGAATGTTGAAAAAGTCATCATTCTTCCTGCACCAAGAAGCATTTACAAGAAGGATATTAGAGCGACATGGAGATGCTAAGACATCACACATCCAAGTAAAGAAGTTGAGTCTCAAGGTTGACTTAAATGACGATGGCATGATCAAGATCAAGGAGGCGAGGCCTCTCAGCAGTGAAATTCCATACCGATCAGTAGTTGGCAGTTTGGCCGTACTTGGCGATGGGGACCCGGCCAGATATTGCTTACGCAGTGAGTTTGATGTCTCGAAAGCTGAACAATCTTAGAGAGATTGATTAGGAAATCATAATGACTACATTAAGATACCTTTGCAATACCACTAGACACTGCATTGTGTACAATAATGAAGATAATAGAAGTTTGATGTTGTTTAGTGACACAGTTAACAACCAGCTGTGCAGAACACGCAGGTCTCGAACAGGTGTTACTTCTTTCTATGGTGGAAGTGCAATTATGTGGCCAAGCAAGCTATAGGAGGCCACATCCAATTCAACAACAGAAGTAGAGTTCATGGCAGCAGCTGATGCCACAAAAACCTGATATGGTTGAAGGGCTTGTTCAAGGAGATAGCTAATAATGTCTCATTGCCTATCCTACAAATTGATAATCAGAGTACTATCAAGTACATCAAAAATCCAATATTCCACTCACGCACAAAGCACATTGACTAAAGTACAAGTTTGTGCAAGATGAGTTTTCGAAGGGACATTTTCAATTAGGCTACGTCAGAAGTAATGAACTACGAGCAGACATTCTGAGTCTGCTTCCAGCAATTCAGTTTCATTTTCAGAAGAAGTTGATTGGAGTAAAAATTGCATATAAGTAAAGGTTAATCTATATGAAGAATGACTATTTTCATGCTTGAAGGAGGCTGTTGAGAATCAAGCATTTAATTTATTTTATGTGCAGTTTTAGTGGCATCATTGTTTTGTTGTATAATTATGTTTTATGCATCTGGCATCACTGTTGTTTCTGTTATTTTAAAAGGTGTCATGTAAAGAATAAGATGTACGTAAGTTCTCTTTACCTTTTTTACTTAATAAAGTCCAAAAATTCAATTAGCCATTACTCTGTTCATTTTATAACAATATATATATATATGTGTGTGTGTATATATTTACCATGTAAAGTATTCATAAATCTATTTAAATTTACTGATATATATAACCATATTTGCTACATTCATGAATGAAAATCTCAATATTGAAATAAAACTTTTTGCTTTTCAGTTCTTTATATAATGCATAATTTATACAAAATTAAATTCATTAACCGTTAAAAAAATCTTTTTAATAAAGTTATGCTTGGTCTTCTTCATCTGAATTTCTGGGGATAATTCAAAGAGACAAAATAATGTTTTGTACATGGAATCCAATGTTTGATGTTTTAATAAAGTTTATTTAAATCCTAAATAAATTAATTGCACTTTTCTGTATCCTTCTATACAGAAATAATTATTTTAAAACTAATATAGTATACCTTTAGCAGGGTTTAAATGTGCTTCACAAGACCAAGAAGCACTAGAAATTGTTTTTATATAATTTTCTAAACATCTGTATGCTTGTCTTTGAATTGAATAAAAAGTGCATTTTCATTAAAAAATTTAATATTCCAAAAATTTAATACTCCTCTTTTTCTACATTTTAAATCAATGGCTTAAACTCTCTTGTGTAACAATGCAAATTTTGGCATTGCAAAAAGCATTATGCCTTTATTTAAAATTGATTGGTTCCAGCAGTTCCTTACATACAGTTCTAGCTTATGCCTCAACTGAAGATAGCAATCTCAATTTCAAAAACATTCATTTTCATTTAAAATTTGGGTGAATATGGAATTATTGACTCATCAAACACAGACAAAAAATAAGTTATAATATTGTATTTTCAGAATCATAAAATATTAGTGTGGATAGTCACTGACAAACTAGATCTGAGACAGTATAAGAATACACAAGACTGAGATAAACATACTTAAATTTGTGATCCTTGTCATTACAGAAAAGGAGGGCAATTTGAGTGCACATTTTCACTCAAAATACATCATTAAGATTGAAGTAATCATTTAAACTCTGATCGGATTATTATAAATTCCCTACAGAAGAATTTAATCTAACTTCATAACAATATCTTGTAGATAATTCGACCAGGAACTGCTTAGCTTTAGACAAAAACTCAGCATATTTTGAGGAAGACAAATATGATATTCTTTTGAAATATGCTGCCACAGTGGATTGGATTAAAATTGATAAATAAATAAATATGCAATAGCTGTAACATTATTTACCGAAAAACATTTGAAAGGAAAAAAATTATGAAATAAGGGTTTTTTTGTATTTTTAAAAGGAAAGAAATGTTAAAACAATTAATTACAACTTTAAAAATGAAAACAGATTCTGATGTTTTGGAAAGATTTTAGGAAAATATAATTTAGCAGTTAAAGAAGATTTGTAAATACATTAATCAAAATTAAAGCAAAATCTTTTTAAATTTCTCTCTAACACAACTGACATATTTACAATAAACTACTTTTCTGAAAGAAAAGGATCTTTGAAGCAGCATGTTGTTTAATGATAATAATAGTTTGGGTACATTTCAAGATACAAATACATGCTCTTAAAGGTACTGGTAAAAATTCTATTGAATGCACACATGGAGCTTTGATGATTACAAATTTAAGATGCAGAATTTAAGAGGAAGGTTATGACATATACAAAAAAGAAAAAGCTTAAAAAACATAAAAATGAATTCTTTGTTTATAAGATGCAATTAAAAATACCTGCTTTCTATCAACTGTTTTCCATAAACTAATTTTTCATATTTTTCCTAAAATTTATTCAAAATATATTAAAATTAGACTTTATACTAAAAGGAAAATATACACTCATATATTATAAATAAAGCATTAAATGCCAAACAATCTTCTAGAGTTTAAGATGTTTTATGCTTTAAAATTATTTTAATACTTTAATTTCATTTAGGTAATAAATAAGTTACGTTTTATAAACATATTTTATGCACTTTTACATCTGCCTTTTCCTTTTTTCTCCTGTTAAATTCTTTACATATATTTGCTATATTTTTCTTTCAACAAACAAACAAATTGGCCCACATCATTTGAACTAGTAATTAAATAGACATAACAGAATATTTATGCAAAATTATTTCCTACTTAACTCACCAGGAGTGCATGTGTGTTGGTGTATTTAATTATGGCAAAGCACACTAGGGCTATCTGCCTAAGGGGAGGGATGCCTTCGTGGAGGACTTTCTAAGTTGAAACTGGCTCGTATACACTTTACACATGGGGAAAACCACGAAAACACCCATGCAGCCAGCCCGTTCGCGGAATTCGAACCTCGGACCGAACTACCAGCGTTCAGCGACTTTATCGCTCGGCTGCTGGTGGGCCCAGGAGTGCATGTGACACACTCCTTTAAGAATCTAAAATGATCCTTGTTACTACTTCTTAGGTTCTACTTCATAAAGGGTGGCTGGTTTGTTAATGATGCCTTCATTTGTATTAAACAATTCCATAATTGCATAAAGCAAGCAATGTCAGTATTAAATAAACAACTATTCAACAGAGAGGAGGGGGAAGGAGGTATTTCTTAGCTTTGCCAGGTGTAATATCTTGGAGTCAGACTTAAGAATTATCACTGCAATGTTGATGACCCAGACATGATTTACACCTTGTCAAGAGATGAGAATTAGAAAGTGGGTGAGCAGCCAGCTGCTTTGTTTCCTTTATACATGAAAGCATTTGATTATAATAGTTTCAGAAAAATATTTTTTGAAAACTGTTTGATAAGACTGTTTAATTGCTACTGAAAATGGCAGAATCAGATGAAATACCCCTTGCCATTCTGAGAAGAAAGCAGAAATAAGCAGCTGTATGGGAATCAATGACTATAGTAATTTCCAGAATGAAAGTTACATCTACCAGCTTTTAACTGATATATTCTTTCAGTAGAAGAATTAAATGGTCTTACTAATGAGTTAAGAGAGAATATCAATTAATAAAAAATTTTAGATAGTAAAATTGAGAATCAGATTCATATGAATTGGAACAGGTCAGTATTCATAGCCAATATATATACTAAACAATAAAATACATATATACTAAACAATAAAATGGCTAAGAAGATTAAAAAGGAATATGCAGTTGTATTCTAACACTGAACAGAATCTTAGTATTTTGCAAAAAGTAATTTCTGAGATTTCAGATGTTAGTTATTTCCAGAATCAAAAACGACAGAAGTACTATAATTTACTGGTAAACTGCTTAAATTAGAAATATCTAAAATTATATGAACGTAGAGAATGAATTTCTGGAGTCACTTTGAAAGTCATACATGATAATGAAACTTTGACAAAGATTGAGAAATTCAGTTATTTAAAATATTACTTCGCAGTGAATACAGCATTGCTTAAAGAGAGGTTTGGATGAACTGACTTAAGTTCTCATATAAATAAATTTTTAGCCAATAAGCCAGTAAGAAACTGCCACATTGTAAAAGCATTGCCTATGCATACATATAATATGATTTGAGAAAAACTACAAAAATTTTGAAATCAATATTTGCATAAGAAATTAACATACAATAACAGAACAAAAATTTATTAGAAATATATAATATTTACTCATTTATTTCTCTCCTGGTTTTACTAATTTGGTCTTTTGATGATCTACAGAGGAAAATTATGTGATGTAAGAGATATGCTAAGACAAGGATTCGGCTGATTAGGAAGCTGAAGTCATTAAATGTACTAATACTATTGTATTTCAAATGGTTCTTTTCAATTATTGTTTTCAATACTAATCTTCTCACTTATGTATTATAACTTGCTATATATTGATTTTTGCATGTTGCTACTATAAGTAAGAAGTTTATACCTGCTGAAAAAGCTGAGGCAGAAAATAAGGAAGGAACGAAATATGTAAGTAAGCACAGTATAATTTATATCTCAACTGTATGTATTTTTACAAAATTGTTGAATAAATTAGTAATTATGAGTTCTTAGAACAATTGATTGATATAAAGTAAACAAAATAATAACTAATTTTTGTACAACTGCTATTCTATAATAAATTGTAAAATAATTTTTAATTACCTTTTTTAACAAAAATAAATCACAATTTTTGGGGGAAGGCAGAAGCAAAAATAACTGAAACTGAAATACATTTTTTTTCCATAAACTTATGGATAAACTAAAATTTTTTAATAGATTAATTTATAATCTATTTTTAATTCAAAGGATACAAGGAATTTCAGGCTGACTTCAAACACAAAATCATACAAATAAAGATATCATACATATTGTGATTCCTGCTTTCTTATTTATTCATGAATGTAATTTGATTTTGAGAAATACACTTTAAAATTAAAAATAATCTAGAAGTTTAATGTACAAAAATGGATAAACAAAATATGATATTCAGAATCAAGCAGTGTATTCATTAGAATACTAAAATTCCTTAATTAAAAATAGGGGATGTAGATTTATGATGCAGAAGGAAGAGCAAAATAGAAGTAATAAATTATGATAGTTACCTTTAAACTTGATTTTGTCATTATAACAGCTGCAGCAGAAGAATCAAACTAAAAATAAGACGTATATTTTAGTCAACAATGATATTCATATATATATATACATACACAGGGTGTGGGAATCAAATGTACCTAATTTGGAGAGGTCGCTCTACTTAACAGAGAGTTTAAAAGCATAAGAAAACTGTAAAATTAGACATTAGTATTCACAAAGTTTTTATAAAACAATCAGTACAATTCCACATGAGCTCCCTTAGTAGCCCTGAGGATGTCCAGCCAGTAGTCCAGTTCCAGCCATGTCTGGTGTAGCATTTCTGGAGTCACAGCAGCAACGGCTGCGGTTATGGAGGTACAAAGGTCTTCAATATCACGGATGTTCCCTGAGTAATCGCATGTTATCCATCAGTTAGAAAAAAATGTATCTAAAAATGCATGAACATGCTTGCCAGTAAGGAGAGATCCCATCTTGTTGGAAGATAACAGTGGGTTGTAAATGCTACATTTGGGGTATTGATAAATTTGTAACATGTGCAGGTAATTGTTTGCCATCACAGATGTCTCAGCAAAGAAAAATGGTCCTATGACTGTATCATGTGATAAAGCACATGAAACGTTTGTCCCATTTTTTTATGCTGGAGTTTTTTCAGCATGGGGTGAATTTTTTTTATAAACTGTTTGAAACATTCTTTGCATCTTTACTACAGATTTGCGTTCTGCATACCAGAGAACAATGTGCCTTCTCTTGCGGTGACACCATTTTTACATTTGTCAGCTCAGCAAAAGCGTAGATGCGTGGGACGCAAGAAAAAAATATTGTTGCCAAACTCTACGAATTCAGCTCCCACATGTGGCCAATATTGCCTTCATAGCGCTAAAACTTCACTTTTAATCAACTGCTCAAAACAGGTACACTGCGCAAAAAAACAAAGAAGGGGGGGGACAGTTCTATTTCTCCCGTTTTACTGTGCCGATTGACGAAATTCAACTTGTGTTTTTTATGTCTCGAAAGCGGGACTTAGGATATGTATTAGATTTATATATAGTAATGTTTTAATATAGGTATTTTGACACAAAAAATAGACTTTTTCTGAAATAACATACCAATTTTTTTCCATATTTCAATTCTACTACTCAAATTACGACAAACTACCAATTTTTGTAAAAATTAGCTGTCAAAATTTTAACTCCTCAATGTTAATTGAGTTTGGTATATATTTATTGCCAGGCCCGGTGGTGCAGTGGCTAGCGCATCGTGCAGCAACACCACAGGTCCGGGGTTCGAATCCCGGGCTGGGCAAGGTTGACTCAGCCTTTCATCCCTTGATTTCCATCTCTTGGATCACTAAAATGAGTACCAAGTTCACTTGGGGACTAAACACTGGGGGGGGGGCTGCGACAAGCTGACCACTTGTTCAGGGCATATGCTTACGCACCCTGGAGCCCACGGCAGATTTCAGGGCACTGCAGGCCTTGGCCCATTAGGGCTGCTTGCCCCACTGAGTTTTTTTTATATATTTATTAATCTCTCTTTTTTTATTAAACTTATTTGATTCTTCCTTTTACATTTTAAAATTCATGTTCACTCCAAATAAAATTCACCCATTTTTTTGTGATTTATTTTTAAAATTTGTATTTTAAAATAATTTTATAAATTTTTCAAAAAAATATTAATTATAATCTATAAAATGTTTACCATCATCTTAAAGTAGACGTATTTCTAAGCATTCCTGCAAAAAATTACAGTGTTTTATTCAAAATTTCCGAAGATACATGTGAATTTATATATTGGCGCTTTTTGAAATTCGGCATAATATTTATTTAAAGCGATAAAACATAAAATGTTGTTTAGACACTTTGCTAAAATTATTTGAAAGTAGGGATGATGTGACTTTTTTTTACGCTCCGGCATAATGGAAGGGAACGGAAAATTGGTTGCTATATATTAAGAAGTTGCCAAGTGAATTATTCTTGGTGCAAACTGAAAAAATTGTGGCAAGATAAATTTTTGAATTTCTGCACCAAATTTTACAAAATTTAATATATAGGCATAATTTGAATCGCAGAATCGAAATATGGGTAAAAATTGGTATGTTAGTTCAGAAGAAGTCTGATTTTGTGTCAAAATACCTATGTTAGAACAATGCTGTATATAAATCTAAGACAAGGTTGATTCAGAATTCATCATCAATATTTGGTGGGGAGGTAGGGAATAGGAAAAGAAGGAGATTTTACATAAGAATGCATGGGCGCATATGCCATGTAGTAGTAAAATGACCCCAGTTCAATGATGGAAAGAACACATAAGAAGGAAGTAGTAAGGAAAAAAAAAAAAAAAAAAAATATTATCTTACATGAAACATTTCTTTGCATCAGTTTTACAGACTTACAAGAGGTGCTCGAACTGCTGACCATGTGGAAGAATGCATGACTCACAACGACGTTGCATGGACAACCAGACCTTCTGGAATGTGCCTGGCATTTACATGCATATCTGCAAATTCATTCCACGTATACCGGTTCATGTTACTTCTGCAAAGTCACCTAGTCGAATGACGACTGGCTGCACACGTCAAACAGCTGTGCTTATATATGGAAATGGTGTACACACAGCGCCCTCTACACCACCATGCATTCGTCTGAGCCCATACTTTCCTGTGTGAAATCTTCTTTTCCTATTCCTTACCTCCCTACCAAATATTGATGATGAATTCTGAATCACCCTGTATATATCTTGAGCTTCCGAGACATGAAAAACACAATTTGGCTTTCATCAATCAGCTCAGTAGAATAGCAGATATAGAACTTTCCTCCTTTTTCTTTTCTTCTCTTCTTTTTTTTTTTTTTTTTTTTTTTTTTTGGCAGTGTACATTTGATTTGGACACCCTGTATATAGTTAGAGTTAGTAAACTGATTAGAGTTCAAAATTCTGTATTTTAATTCAGTTTTAATTCTCTTTTACTTTGTGTTTACAGTATCCTCTAATAACAAGAGAATTATTAAAAATCATTCAAAAAAAAAAGTAAACATTGTACTACATTCCTGTAATAGCTCTTCAGAAAGCTGGTGTTAAGGGACATCACTGACTCTTCTTTTTACTTTTAGCCATGATCTATCAGTTCAGAAGAAAAATAGCTACACTTTATTTTATTACGACTATTTGAATGATATTACAGAAAAGTGTCATCATTTCACCAGAATTAGTGACCTTTGATATACTCTGAACAAAAATAAGTGATTTTCAAACCTGATCTATAAAGGTGGTTTATTACAAGTGGATACAGACTTCAAAAGTCATGATAAGGGTGTTTAAAACACAAAAGAACTGACAGCTTAAAACAATGCTTCTTAAACTTTTCTCATACATGACGTCTTTTTACCATTGATTTTTTTTCTTTTTCTCAACCCCAGATAAAATAAAGATATAAAAATGGGTCTGTGACACTTAACCAACATGTACATTTAGGCTATGTGGGCAGTTAGCCAACATGGACAATTAAATGACATGAGCATTTAGCCAACGTGGAAATTTAGCCAACAGGACATTTAGCTGACATGGATATTTAGTTGACAGGACACAGCTGACAGGTCATTTTAGCCTACAACACATTTATAGTTACCAACACGTACATGTAGATAAAATAATAATAATAATAATAATAAAAAAAACCCTATACAACAATGTTTTAGTAAAATTTGTCCATATTTATCTGAAAAACAAAAGGGCTGTTTCCAGGGTACCCAATGAGATGGTTTATAAATCAATATCATATTTTTTACTTTAATGTTAAAGAAACTCTGTATTTTAAAATTAACAGAAAAGCAACCTTATTTTGGCATAGATTTTGAAATCAATTTCGAGAGTAATTAGACCTAGGTCTCTATATTTCGGTTTGGTTTATTTGATTATGACAAAGCACTCAGGGGCTATCTATCTACCTTCAGAAGGACTTTCTAAGGGAAACTGGTTCATATACATGTTATGCATGGGTAAAGTCATGAAAACATCCATGTAGCCAGCCTGTATGCTGGTATTTGAACACTGGACCTAACTACCAGTATTCAGTGATTTTACCACTTGGCAGTATGTGGACTTGCTTTCTATGTTTCACAAGTGGGATAGAAAATTTCAAGAGTTGGAAGAGCAAAATGATTTATATTTAAAGAAATATAAATATCCCATAAAAATTATTTCCTTGGTAAACAGTATACACACGAAAAGATATAGTTTTAGAATTTGTTTCAAATGAGAAGTAATTAATGAAAGAAAATTACATATTAAGGAGACATGTGTGCTTGTTTTTTGCTACATAACAAATTAAATCTTGATGCAATATTTGACACTGCTGAATGTAAAGGTCAAGGAATTTTGTGGAGACTCAAGTTTTGAGTTATTAGATAGCTGAACAAAGCCCTCTTGGGCTTTATATGGTAGGTGATAAATTTCTTTATGGTCAATCAAAAATGGGCTTTGAATCTAAGGTAACTTTTTTAAATCAAAAGTTGATATAGTACTTAAAAAACTGTGTTTCTAGGGTTCTTAACTGATCTATGATAATTTTTGTAATTAAAGTTTTATAGTTATTTTTTGCAATTATAAAAGTGTCAATTGTCAAAACATTTTGACAATTGATCACAGTTGAATTTGAAGATGAAAGTTTTATTAAGGAGGCTGATCTTCTTAATAAAACTTCCAATTTTTTCATTTAAAGCAAACAAACATATTGCTATTTATTTCCTTGAACTGATCACTTCTCAATGACAACACAGCTTTGGAAGCCATGAGTCATTTTGAAAAAGAGCAGTAAAATCAGATTAAGTTAAAAAAATTGTTAAAAATATAATTTTGCTTTTTAATAACAATAATCTTCTTCAACTTTGATACCCATTTTATTTCTGCATGTAATAATAAATTTCTGTAATCTGAGTCTACGTCTTTACAGAGATTTGAAAATAAATGGCTGTTAAGGGCATGACTTTCAACAGTTTATAATTTTGAGAGTATCCTGAAGCACGTTAACTTCTTCCCCCTGCTGGGGCATCTCAATGTATTAGGTAATGTGTAAAAGCTACATGATCATTATCAGCAGCTTTCAGAAAAGATTTAAAATCAATATTTTTGTGCTTCATGGCTTTTGCATCATCTATGTATACTCCATTCAGTTTAAAAAAAGTAGTCATCTTTATTATGCATGTCTTCCCATTCCAAATGATGAGAAAATAACAATTTTACATCAATATTTTCTTTATAAAAGTGCCTGATATATACTAATAACTGAGCTATCTTTTAACATAATTTGTCATGTTTAACAGAATTGGAAATTTGGGGCTTTCATTAAGTCTAGTAGTTGCTCGACTTGACCTTGGCTAATTCCAGAAATTTTATTGGCAGGATTTTAATTCAGAAATTCTTCTGAGATATCACTTGACAAAGGTGGTTTTCAAATTTCATTGCTATATTTATTTCCTTGGAGTATTTCTACCATTTGTACAGCAGGTAATACAAAATCTTTTCAATTATGTATGGCCTTTTTTTTTTTTTTTTTTTGTTAGCAATCAGATGTGAGATTTCATGTGATGCAATTAAATATTTTTTGCTAACTCTCATAAATTTATAAAATAATAATAACAATAATAATAATAATAATAATAATAATTTTTTATATGAAGATTTTAACAGTCGTTTGAAATATTGTTTTGTTTTGTTAACGCATGAAGGATGCTTGGTCTCAAGATGGCTTTAGATTTTCAAGGTTTCATACTTTTCATTGCCCAAATGTTATTGCAAATTAAATAAAGAGATTGTTCATTACCATCACAATTGCTGAAAGTAAAGAACAGTTGCAGAAATGTCTCATTATACTTTCTTTTTCACACCTTAGATGTCTCTTCCCAATTACTAGATCCTGCTTGAAGAGACTACTATAATAATTATTCAAATAAACACAAACCTCACTCAAATAAAACATTAAAATACAATACTGTATTATTCTTGTGCCATACACACTTATTCCATAAAACAGAAAAAACTGAAAACTACATAGGAAAAACATTATCACTTCACTAGTCATAGCAGCTTCAATCTAATTCTCAGCATGCCTGCTTAGCACAGAAGGTTATGTACTGTGTGTTTGCAGCAATTTTAATTCTGAAATAACCTACATGCTGAAACTGTGATGTGACACCGCTGTTAAGGTGTGCTTAGTGGCATTTTTTAATATGAAAATAAAATTTACAACTAAACTTGGAGAGTACTACAATTTATAATTGCACAGTTCAGAAAATATAATACATTAAAGATAATGAAGGGATTGTGACCATTGTTTCTTTAAATACACATATTTCAATTAAATTTTTGTGACCCACACATTTTGCTTTGCAATCTTGCTTGGGGTCATGACCCACAGTTTAAGAATCACTGTAATGTTATTCACTGACCATTGCATAATCCAGAAAGTAATGCTTTTTGGATAATGTAGTGGTTCAGTGACATTTGAACATCTAACAGAAATAGTTTTGAAAAAACTTTTACATGAAATCCAGCAGAATGCAACAAACCAAAAAATTGACACATTAATTAATAAAGCAGAAGCCCTTTCAACAGTTTCACAAAATAAAATGGCAACAAAATAAAGCCACTAAAGATGCTTCTGCTTTAACAAATCCATAAAACCATTTTTTTTTTTGGGGGGGGGGTTCAGTTTACTTGAACATTTTTAGCTATTTTTCTTCACTTATTGCTTACAGATACAGCAAAGTTTCTGTTAATCTGGTCAGTTTATTTAAAAGATCTTTATGAACTTTTAACATACAACAATATACTGCATTTCATTGTATCACAAACAGAAATATATGAAACAGGAAATCTGGAATTGAAAAAAAAAAAAAAAAAATTAAAAATTAAATAAATTATTAAAGCTACCTGAGGTCTTCCAGCTCTTCCAATCATTTGCAATATTTGAGTCTCAGAGTATTCTTTGTAACAACCACCAGCATACTGCACAGTAGATTTTACTACAACCAGATGAGCAGGAAAATTGACTCCCATAGAAAGAGTGCTTGTAGATACTAAAATATTTTTAATAAAATGTAGTAGACATAATAATATTTCATTATCTGATATTTTATGACAAATATTGATAGAAAGGTTATTCGTAACCCCAAGTTACGAATAACCAGGCATATTTTTACATTACTATACAATATTTTCATGCTTACAAATTAACTCATTACAATGAAAAAGAATAATGAAATAAATAAATACCCTTTACTCATGTACTTTCCCTACAGCTGTTAAGTACAAAGTTCTGAACATTTGTAAATATTCTTATAATTTCCTCCTTCCTCATGGCATTTAGAAAGCGAGTTCTCCTAAAATTTAAAATGTATTCCTCCCTGTGGTGATTGTTCTTGTCATACTAATTGATTTGCTTGTACATTTTGGATGTATGGGCTCTGACTTATGAAGTTATTTATCGTGAACAGGTTCAAAGGGTATCTAATTATCTTGATGGTGAAGAGAATTACAACTTGCAAGCTGTAACAGTTTAAACAGCACTGAATGATTTAAGGCCTATGGAGTAACAATGAACAGCAAAAACAGCAAGTGATATTCAAGATATAGGAAAATGATTATATCTTATTATATCTGTTTGTAATGAAACTTTTCTGCCAAAAAACGTTCTTAATAAAGTTAGGGAAAAACATGAAAGCAGTACCTTCAATGTGGGTAGTAATCGCCATCCAAATCTGTAATTTTCTGTCAATATTTTGGTAGTTTTTCAAAGATTTCAGCCCAGAAACTTGATGGCCGTGAGTACAAAAACAGATCAACCTCATTTTGGACATCCTGTGCAGAACAGAAGATAGCACCAGCAAGATGTAGCTGCACATGTGAAAAAAAAAGGTAGAAGGCCAAAGAAGTGATGTCAGGATTATAGGTGGGTGTGGCAAAAGACCCTATTCGAATCTGTACAGAGTCCAGTCCAGTGAATGCAGATACATGTGTTCTTGCATTATCTTGATGAAGCATTACCTTCTTGGGTCAGAGCTCAGTTCCATGTTTTTCCTTGATAGCAGCATCAACATGGACTAGCATCTCGCTGTACACCTTACTATCAAGGGTTTTACCTTTTCCCAGATACTCTTTATGGATAATACCATTGATATATCACCATATACAAAGCATGATCTTTTTGTTGGGCAAATTGCACTTTGAAACGCTGCTGACGGGCTCATTAGGTGCAAACCAATCCTCTTTTTGGCCTGTATTGTTGAAGTAAATGCACTTTTCATCACAAGGAAAGTGACAATCCAGTCCAGAATTTTGAGTTTATATTTGAGCAGATTAGTGCAGGTTCAAACACGTCTGTCCTTATCTGCTTAAATCAGCTCATGCGGCACCCAGTGATTGAATTTGTACATCAAGTTTATGAGATACATAGTGCGACTAATAGACATGGCATAGCATTTAACTCCTTAGCAAGCTCTCAGTGCTACTGATCTTCTTCCACAAGTTCTCAGCAGCAAGCATCATCAACATCAGAAGAACAGAGAGAGTGCCCTGCTTTTCTTGAGTAGTCCTTGTTTTTGAACTTTCGATACCAAACCTTTACAGTGTCGTATGATACCACATTAGTACCTAAAGCTGTACACATGATTTCGTGACATTCTGTTGCTGACTTTTGGGAATAGAATTGGAAGTCAATGATGGTTCTACAGTGAAAGTTCCATCTCAGACACCTTTTACTTAAAGATAGCGATATTTTTTTTACAAATTTCACAACACAGTATTCTAAAGCTAGTCTCTTTCTTTCAAATGTTAAAAATCGTTTTAAGTATGCAAATGTAAGCTGTTTGCACAGACAATATCTGCAGTGGTGGTAAACTTTCATTAAAAACCAACATAATGTAATATTAATATTATTATGTATTCTACTGGTATATAGGTTTTTTTTTTAAATAAATAATATCATGATATTCACTGGTTAGTTTATCCATGAATACCTTTCATTTTCTATGCTCTTACTGTAGCTCCATACTTCAGAAATTATATTATTCACAGAATTTTCCCCTCTCAATTTTCATATGATAAAGTTAGTAAAAAGGGGGGATAGGTGAATAAATATAGTAATACTAAAACTGAGAATAGCAGGAAAGTGATGTGGGAGTTATTTACCCCTATGTATTTCTTCATGCTCAGAATTATTTAAAAAACTGAAGTATCACATTTTAGTGTTTATTGCTGTTTTAGTCACTTCTCTATGCAAACTTTAATATTATTTGTGTATCATTTTGCAATCAGATTCTTTCAAGTATATGTAGTATATGTGCAATTCACAAGCATGTTAAATTCATAGTTTTCAAAGTAAATTAGTAATTCCAAAGTAATTAAGTAAATAAAATAACTAAAAAAAATTAAAAACCTTTTATTTCCTAGAAATTGATTTCAGTGATATGTTTTCCTTTCACCAGACCTATTATCATCTATTATCATCATTTTTCAATTTAGTTATCTCACAGTTTCAATATGTTCTTTAAAGTAGGGAAGACACTGACATAACATCAGGTTAGTTTTAACACTTTTTTAATTTTGCCTTCTTCTTATGCATAAGTTTGTTTTATACACCTATCCCTCAATTTACACAGAAGATAAGTTCTGCACAAAACCGTGTAAATCGAAATCTTGGATATTGTTATATAAAATGAAAAACACACTAAACAGGAATAATTTAGTTATTTATAAACATAAAACAAAAGTAAGACATCTTAAAATAAATAAAGTTATTCGTTAGTCATTTCATAAAATAAATGTAGGTAATAGAAGTACATATTTAATTTATTTTACACTAGGAAAATATAAGATTATTAAAAAATTATTATAAGTTTAATCACTGTCATGACTTTCATGAACTATTGGTCTTTTCTTCTTGATTGGTATGATATCACTTTCATCGCTTGAGCGTTCTTGATAAGATTGTGCTTCAATGGTTGACGAATTAAGAAAAATCTCAGATGGACAAGACATTGCAGTGAAATCCATAATTAACAACTGCCTAGGTTTTTTTTCCTAAATCTTTGCAATCCTCCTCATATTGATTTAAGCACTTATTAAGCTCCCGTTGGAATCAGAGAGCTTGTACAACATTCATGTCATATTGTAAAAAATGATTACCTAATTTTCTTCCCAATTCAAATCCTACACTGATGACTCTTGCTGTGAATGCAACTCAGATTGCTCTTTATCAGAAGCATTATCTTCATCATGTTTATTTGTTTCATGAATCATGTTAACTAACTTGCCCACATTTAGCTCTTCATCAGCCATTATTTCTTCAATATCTGCTTGAGCTAAATCCTCAGAACCTTCTCCTCCTATAGTTTGGGCCAATTTAGTGATCTGAGAATATTCCTGCTCTAATGGCAATCTATTATTCTCATCTTTACCTGCATCTGGCCATACTGCTTTCCAGCATGCATTGAGTGTTGATTGTTTAATTTGAGTATATGACAGAACAACATGCTTAACACAATCTAAGATTGTAAATTTCTTCCAAGCATCCATAAGAGAAAAGAGATTCATCATTCTATATATGTTCTAAAATATACCCGAAAATTTGTTTGATATACAATGCTTTAAAAGTCAAAATTATTCCTTGATCTAACGGCTGTAATAAGGAAATTGTATTCTTTGGTAAAAAGACAACTTTAACATTTTCATGTTGTAAATCTTGAGGATGATCAGGTTCATTATCAAGTAACAGAAGAGCCTTAAAAGGCAATCCCTTTTTACTTAAATAATTTTTGACATTTGGGATAAACATGTTATGAAACCATTCATTAAAAACTACGGCAGTGACCCATGCTTTCTTATTAGCCATCTAATAAACAGGAAGGTATTTACGTTTATTCCTTTAAATAAGCGTGGTGTTTTGGTTTTTTAATAACAAATAGTTTCATTATATAATCACCTGAAGCATTGCAACACAAAAGAATTGTTACATGACTTTTCGATACCTTATGATGACTAGTTGATTTGCAAGCTTTAGCTACATAGGTTCTCTAAGACATTTTTTTCCAGAACGACTTCCAGATCCGTTAGATCAAGGAATAATTTTGACTTTTAAAGCATTGTCAGCATTGAAGATCTGATCAGAAATTTAGGAGTTGGCAACTATGATTTCAGCAAATTTTGCTGGATATTGTTGTGCTGCATCCAAAGCAACAGATGCACTTTCTTCTTTCAATGTTAACCAACCATGACCTGTGAAAAAGATGCCTTTTTTTTTTTTAATCTGATGAAGTCAATGGTGACTGATTCTTAAGTCCTTTATAAATCTTTAAAGCCTTATTTGTAATAGCATTAGTATGGAACCCGTTTTTGATTTTTGTCTTCTATCCATATCACTAATGCCTTTTCCATGTTTTCCATTGTATCATCTCTTGCATATGAAATTGTCCTCGATGCTACAAGTTCCAGCTGCTACACTTCTTCTAATAGAGTCTTCATTTTTTCTAATTGTCCTTATTGTGGCTTCATTCACCGAAGTAATATTCATCAACATCTGTTACTCTTTCTCTATTACATGGATGATCTAATATTTTAATTTGTGTTTCTAAAGAAATAACTCTTTTTTTATTTGAAATTTTTCCAAATCTTTTGGCATTATAAAAACTTTAAAAAAATTACGTAAATTATAAAAATGCCACAAAAAATATAAAAGTTGAAAACTCACCAGTAAACATTCAAATATGTAAATAAAAATATTGTAAGCTTTGCTGCTAAAATACTGATACTGCACTAGTTCACATGAACCAAATAGCTTTACTGTTGTGAAATACATATACGTACCCTGGGGATTCCCCTTTTACAACACGGGGAATGCCCATCCTTGTTTTTGCCACCAGTGTTACCAAAGGAATGAGATTCAAAATGACTTAAAATTTATTTATTTGCGTATATGCAGCCAAATATACGTTTTCACTAAGTTTTTGAAATCTGTTAATTTTTAAACCATGTAAATCAAGGGATAGGTGTATTCTGTTACTTTAAAAGAAAGAGCCCAATA